CCCCTTGACTGGCTCTGAGGCAGACCCCATCTCTCATTAGGAGAGAGCTGCAGTTCTACTTGAAAGTGACATTCACACTCCCCTCTCCTCTCACAAATGCAAAGAGATGACAGCCCCTCGCCACTTAAAAGCCCGGGTCTCTCTTTTCAGGCCCAGGAAAACATCAATTTATTACATTAGGTTTGGCAGATATCCATATGATACCTATACGACACAAATAACCCACCCCCTTTCCATTACAAACACTAACTCACTCACAGTCTTGGTGTCGTTTCCTTCATCACCTCGATCGGCAGCCCACCCTCTCGTTCGCCAACACCTCCTCACGGCTGTCAGCCTCGCTCCAACCAAACATTTTGTTTGCTTGTCGGGATTTTAATTCACAATTAGCTCATAGAAGCATGTAAGGCAGCGGGGACAAAAGCATTTTTCAGTAGGGGAGTGTCTACAACAGACACTTACCTCCGGACCCTTGAATTTAATTAATTACTGAACGTAACAATGTAAATAAATGAAAAGATCTGCACAAATGTGTCATTCATGCAAGATAATATAGAGAGTGTATGAGCATTTTAAACTTTAAAAAGTAGTTTAGGCTTTTATTTTATATTATTTTAAAATGAGAAAGTAGAAATCACAATGTCACACCAAATTATGTATCGCTCATTTTGTAATACAACGAATTACCATATGCATAACGGGAAAAAAAATAGAAGCAAATAAACAAATAAAAATATACCCAGGATTATTATTATAATTGCTTTAACTATAATGCCAAAATGTACTATACCTCTAATAACATGTTTGCAATTTATCATAAAGCACTTATTGCTGTTATATTTCATTAAATATTGTACATTAAAAAAAAAACAAATACATACATACATACATACATACAGACAGACAGACAGAAAGACAAACATACATTCATACATTTATATATTCAGTGCTCAGCATATATAAGTACACCCCTCACAAATCGATCTTTTCAATTCATACTTTTTAATAGGAAGCTATAAAATATTATATTTGCGCATATACATTAGATTAGTCAGAACTGAAGGAGCAAATCTAACAAAATATCTTACGATATATATATCTATTATATATTATCCATAATAATAAAATACAAATATAAAATAAAATAATAATAAATAAATTAGTTGAAATGTTGTAGGTTGTATATTTTTTGCAATATTTTGCTTGAATTTAATTGTGTTATCTTTCAATTTCTAAATATGTTTGATGACTAACATATTATTTAAATAAATATATCTGTTTAATAAATCTGTTTTATTACCAAAATACATTGCCTATATTCACTGAGAAATGGATAAAAATACTCATTTTCAAAATGGGGTGTACTCAGTAATGCTGAGCACTGTGCATACATAAGGCATGGGCCAGTTTAAGATTCTGATGATATGATAACCTTGGGTAAAAATATTACGGTTTCACGAAATTGTGATTACTGCTCTAAAATACATTCTTTTTAAAATGTCTGGGTAAAAACAAAAACTTTTTTTTCTCCTTTGAGCACAATATATTTTAATTTGGGAAACATTTAAGTTATTTTGGAACAGTAAACATGTCATGCTAAATAATTCAAATGAATTATTGACTTCTGCTGTCTTCATTAGTTTGAAAAACACAGATTTCTTTACAATTTAAAACTGCATCTTTGATATCTCAGATATCTTTTTAGCTGGAGATACTGTTGCCATAAAAAAAAAAAAAAAAAAAAACTTTATATATACTAGTAACGGAATAACAGAAAATGTTGGCTGCTTCAAATCCCTGACTTTTCCAAACTATGGTATACCTTGAAAACGGTTATCGTTGCATGTCTAACCAAAATACAAACATTTTTTATTCTACTTTGCAAAAAAAAAAAAATAATAATAATAATACAAATAGAGGGGAAACTATGTTTTGTCAATCCCTATATATACATTAGTATATGACAACTACTGGGAACAAACACCCACATACACCCAAGAAATATGCACATCAAACCTTCAGGCTGTCACTTTCTTTGAGAGCATGAAGAGACATTTCTTTAAACTACAATGGGTCCAGTGTACAAAAACCACACATTCTCCAGCCCGACTGTTAGTAGTGTTGACTAATTAGCCAGTAATAATTATCCTGGAAATCAGTCTCCATTATTGAATACAATAGCAACATAATATTCACTGAAAAATACAGAGATTGAAGAGGAGTATTGGGGGGAGGGAAGCTGTTCGCTTGTACACTCAGACCAAAAGCTGTCAAAGACAAAGTGTAGAGACGGAAAAAGCGTGAGGAGAGGAGGGGGGGACAGCAATGATAGACACCAGAAAATGAAAGACAGAAATCAATCAATTAAGCTCGATTTGCAGAAGATGAGCCGGTGTCACGCAGAGGAGAACTTTTCGGCGACAAGGAGAAAAGTGATGAAGGTATATGCATCAGAAAGAAAAGAAGTAGCAGAGTCGCTTTCCTTCAGAGCCGTTCTCTCGCTCTCTTTAAAGATCACCGGCGTGTCAGGAGGGGGGTGGGTTGCGATATGCAAAACACGGCCTCCATAACCAAAGTAGCCTGCAAAATGAGGTGTCAGCACGCGAAGCTCATTGATGTATGAATGCGGAAAATGAAAAGCGGCAGCAGACAGACGAGGCTAAAGGTGAGACAGGCGCAATGTGAGCAGCTGTACATCTACGTCAAGGTGTTGGCGAAGCGGCCCTTTCTCTCTCTCCCCTTCTCATCCTGCTTGCTCTCTCTTCTTTATTTATTTATTTCCCTCTATCTATCTCTTTTCTCCATTGGAAGGGCCACAGCCTAACAAGGAACACCGGCCACAGGACATTGAAGGAATGCTTCTCAGGGAAACAATCCCGTTCCCTGTGGAATACTAACTAAACTTGAATAAACCTAATAGTCTCTCTCTCTCTCTCTCTCTTTCTTTGCTGCAGACCTCATCTGCCATGTCAAAATATATCACTCATTTTTGTGTGCACAAATTTACATTTCTGCCTACATGTTGGAAACGCATGTTGCAAGGCTATTGTTTTTACTTCTTATTGTTTTTTGCCTCTGTTGCAGAAACAGAAATGAGGGAAATAAATAGCTACCTTCTGGCAGCCATTTTGAATACAACGCTCACCTGAGTTCTGCCAATGCATGTAGAAGTATTTATGTACAGCACAGGCTTTTGAATTATCATTTACCAAATGCTTTACATATTTATGTGCATATGGATGATTAGGTAAGAAGATAGAAGTATTAAACTATAGAGATGTATATTGTAAACTTAATGAACTAAACTAAAAGGGGTTTCTATTGACCTATTTCTTCAATGCGGAAGGGCACTCGTTTTTGCGATTGTTCAAGAACTTCAGTTGCCTATGAGAGAAATGACTAGAAATAAAAAACGGCAGAAAATGGTCAAACTACTTGCTCTACAAACAAGTGTTTGCATGACTATTCAGAATATCAGTTTGCAACATCAAGCAGCGTAACGAGCTGTTTTTAATGTCTAAAAATGAATGGAAGTGAATGAGACTGGAAGTCTCAAGCCAAAAAGGTTCATAGGGATGCTCCAGCTCGTACGGGAAGAATAAAGTAAATCAGGTGACTTGCAACTTTTAAGTCGAGAGCATTTTTTGGCTAGCAAGTTTAACATGAGAATATCAGAACCCCTAGTTTTTTGCGATTCCACAAAATCAACAAAGTTGGCAGTTTTCAGCTTGTGCGGTAAACAGAAGCAGATGAAGTGCAAGTGATTTAGATGTGAAGTCATAGCAAAGATGAGATATAGACATCTTGTGGTGCGAATTTGGCGTTTTGTGTGTTTGACGTGCATCAGACTGCAAAAGAAAGTTGAAGCAAACGGAGCAATGGAACAGACAGGGGGAGATGAGATTGGTTCAAGGGCGATGGCTGGTGAACGTGACTGAATTAAAGCACAATATTTGTGATTTGCCTGCATGGCTGGAATTATGATGTGTGTCAAATCAGCCTGATCTCACGAGAAAATGAAAGTATTTTACGTTTTGGCAGTTTAGTGGCTAATTCGTGGCTAGTTCGAGTTCAGTTGTACAAAATTGTACAATTTTAAAAAATAAGCGTGGCACCTAACCCCACCTCTAAACCCAACCGTCATTGGGGGATGAGCAAATCGTACTAATATGTACGAAATAGATTGTACGAATTTGTACAAATTAGCCACTAAATGAAAAAGTTACCAATTGCCGTGAGATTGTGCTGGTCTAATCGATATATTATTGTGTTTAACTCTTTCCCGGCATTTAACGAGAGAAAATGCTTTCCTGTCATTGACGAGTTTTTCTGCAATCCGTGTTTTAGGTTTGTTATGGTAGGGGAAGCCCTTACGCATGTCCTATGTGTGACATGATGTGAGATGCTCTGGATAGTGAAATCTGAGAGAATGTAAGATTGTCGATAAAAATAAGAGTAATACAACCTTCCTTTGGCTTAATTCCTACCATTTCAGATCCTGTCTTGACAAGAGACCAAAATAAAGAAGCTTTATTTTTAGGATTTGTGTAAATTTTTCAGATAATGCACACCTAACATAGTAGGCTACCTAATATGGTAAATATGCATAATTTTTTACATTTATATATATATTTTTATTGCAAAGTTGTCTGCAAATTTCTGGGAATTACTGCCACAAAATCAGTCACTTTAATTGCAAAAAAATCACACAAAAAATTGTGGAAAAACTAGGGGGTCTAGAATATATTGCAATAATATTGGTGAGGCTCAGAGAAGACATTTAAAAATGAATAAGATGATCCTGTTAAATACATTTTATAAGATACTGTACATTAAAGTAAGTGAAGAAATTAAGGCAGATTTTGTGATTCCACAAATTGTGTATTTATGGCTGTTACAGTAATATACTAAACACTTTTTTCATCTCTGACATTAAACCTTCAGTGAAGGTACAATACAAATCTACTTACTTACATACAGACACACCAGAAATGTTATAGTTAAAATTATGAACTTACCATATTGATCATATTTTGTTGTTGTTGACACATTTCAAACTGGGTCTGCGGACCCATTTCATCAGGATTATCCTATTTAGGAGGGGTTCATGGCATCTAAAAGAAAAAAAACAACAACAATACATTAAATCATCTGTCCAATCGAACAGTATTCATGCATTCATTCATTTTCCTTTGATTTAGTTCCTTTATTTATCAGGGGTCACCACAACGGAATGAACCACCAACTTATCCAGCATATGTTTTACACAGTGGATGCCCTTCCAGCTGTAACCTAGTACTGGGAAACACCCATACACCTATGCAAACCCCACACAGAAATGCCAACTGATCCAGCTGGGACCACTGAGCCAATGTGCCACCCCTAACCAACAATGTTTCAGCAAAATTCAGAATAGACCATAATGCCATATACAAAACTTTTCATGCTACTGTTATGAAAATACAAGTAGGCTTAAATTGCTGACGTTTTTCTTCTACTTGTGTCTTTTTTATTTATTTATTATTATTTTTTAACAAAATAATAACTTTCCCAGTTGGCCCCTATAGCACATTTTTGGGCCTGTGTAGTTCATAGCCATTTTTATCATGAATACCACAGGTATGTTTACTTTTGTATGCATTACTTGATCTCCATTGTAAATTCTGGGTCCTGAAGCAAAATCATTTGAGAAGCACTATCACACACTGCCAAGAACTGCTTCTTATTGATGGTCAAGCCTGGCAGTCTGCGAAACAGCACATGATGCTGCTTTCATTGAATTGGAAGGATACCTGCTGACAGCGGACTTAAAGGAGCTCCTGGCTGAGCTATCACTGCCTGAATGTGTATGCGTGTGTGTGTGTGTGTGTGTGTGTGTGTGTGTGTGTGTGTGTGTGTGTGTGTGTGTGTGTGTGTGTGTGTGTGTGTGTGTGTGTGATTGATAAAACAGATCAGAGGAAGCTTGTCTTACACAGAGTTTGTGATGTTTGTAATGCTTGTTTCATTCCAGCCTTATCGCATGGGATTTCAGAGATCTTGTCCATCAGTCCGACAACAGCATCACCATCACATAAAAACACTAGGCAGCTGAGATGACCCACGAACCTTCATATATCATTTTCTTTCATTAATAATTAAAAATATGTGAAGGTATTCAATAACACAAAAGTCACTTTTAAACAGGAAAGAAATATGGTTCTTGCATGTGACTTGCATAAGTCTTGTATGCGACTCCTTAATGTGTAAAATGCTTATTGTGTCATATCCAATTAAATAGATACATAAATAAATACATACATACAAACTTCCTAAACTACTTCTGTTCGTCTGTCTGTCTGTCTGTCTGTCTGTCTGTCTGTCTGTCTGTCTGTCTGTCTGTCTGTCTGTCTATCTATCTATCTATCTAAATGTATGGTAAACAAGAATGACAAACCTAGGCACATGATAACTGGATTGAGCCTTCCACTGGCTTTCTGAACTTAATGTTCATGAATATGTGAAAAAAAATATGTGGTTCTTTCTAATCTAAATAAATGTCATATGTTTATACTTTGCTGTTGTAGTAAAATATTATAGCAGTATATTAGTGTTCGCAATATTACACATTAGCAATAAGCTAAGAGATTAATATTTAGAGGCGACATGGTGGCTCAGTGATTAGCACTGTCACCTCACAGCAAGAAGATCACTGTTTCAAGACTCCAGGTGCTCCGGTTTCCACCACAGTCCAAAAACATGCTCAATAGGTGGATTGAATAAACTAAATTGGCCGTAGTGTATGTATGTGAATGAATTTGTATGGATGTATTCCAGTACTGGGTTGCATCTGGAAGGGCATCCACTGTGTAAAATATATGCTTAATAAGTTGGCGGGTTCAATCCATCCGTCCGTCCGTCCGTCCGTCTGTCCGTCCGTCCGTCCATCCAACCATCCATCCATCCATCCATCCATCTATTTATCTATCTAAGTTGGTGGTTTATTTTGCTTTGGTGACCCCTGATATATAAAGGGACTAAGCCAGAGGAAAATAATGAATTAATATTTAGAACTGATTGTATGCAGGCAAGGCAATACCCTTGCCTATAAATTAGGTCTTGTGTGCGCTCACATCTTGACAGTCCGTGTTGTCTGGAGTCAATTATGTATTGTTTTTATTTTGCTGATAGACAGATTATAAGAATACACCATTGAAAATGTAAAAAAAAAAAAACATATTTTCTTTAACCAGATTCACACTCCAGGTTGTCAGTACCAAATACTAACAGTGTGAAAGTTGCCAAACATACAGCCAAACATGAAGAATTTAGAGTGTTGAACTTTAACTTCACATTTTGTGCGTTTTGCAATTATTACAGCTCATTGATAACATAAACTATGCATAAATACATGTCAGTGGCAACATTAAATCAAAAAGGCCAGGCTCGTCGTCCTCGTCAGGCCTTCAGAAATTGTTGTGCGCGTCGGGTAATTTGCTCTTTTGTCAAGGCGGCTGATGCGGTAGCAATTTGCATGTCTCCTCCGTGAAGAGCTTTGAAATAAAGGATGGTCGCTGTAATGCACTAAGTGTTTGTGCCACAGCTGATTGATAAAGTGAAGCCCTCTGTTGTGCAACACTCATCACTGGCCAGAGGGCTGCAAACAGAGGGGAAAAAGAAGGGAGGAAAAGAGGGAAAGAAAGAGAAATGACATCGTATGCAAATTAAAAGAGAGAGAGAGAGAGAGTGAGAGAGAGAGAGGATGACAGAAGAAAATGAGTTACACACCCTCTGCTCGGGAGGCTTGCGAAGGGGCGGCGGGGAGGGTCTGTGGAGAGAATAGAGCTGAAATGAGTTGTTTAGGTATGCTCCTGGGTGCAGGACTTGTAAAGCAGATGTCACTCTAATAATGCGAGCTGGCGAACACGCTGGGCCTAAACCCAGCAGGATGAAGCTTCAAGCCCCAGCAATGGCAGCTAATGCCATTTTATGAGGTGCCATCTTATAAAGACAATGCCCACCTCATGCCATGCGCTTAAGCTAGTCAGCTGCAGGCACCAGCAAGCATTTGCTGCAGGGATTTCTATTTATTATTTCATAAGCCTCAATTTTGAAATCTGATTCCCACAACCCATTTTACTAAAGCCATCGTTTTCCATTTTTTCCTGGACAAGTGCTTCTTCATGTCCTCTTGCCGAAACCTGGGCTCAAATAAGAACAGACCTCGCAGAACTTCCTAAACTACTTCCTACAGGTTGTAAAGTTTCATTTGCATTCAAAGGAGGCATTCAAGTGATTGCCTCATTTTATCTATCTATCTATCTATCTATCTATCTATCTATCTATCTATCTATCTATCTATCTATCTATCTATCTATCTATCTATCTATCTATCTGTCTGTCTGTCTGTCTGTCTGTCTGTCTGTCTGTCTGTCTGTTTATCTATATACTTATCTATTTCCCATCCATCTATAGTTTTTTTAATTTTATTATTTTGATCTAGCATAGTTTTCCCTGTTGCCTGTAACCTGTAATCAAAACAGACCTGTGAGGACAAAGAAAATGCTAAAAGGATTAGACTATGCAGTATATCTGGACCTGGTATTAATTAGGGCATATGCTAAGTCCAATGATGTGATGATACGGTGCAAAGGTGTATATTTTCCATCCTGTTGTGCAGCCTTCACTCATTACCCGATGGCTCGGGGCTCAAGGGTACAGCTTAATAAAAGTTAATCATGAGAAACTTGCTCATTAATTACATTTCTGGTGGCTATCAAGCACAGTTCCTCACTCTCAGCTTCTATTCTAGTATTTCCTGCTTGTTTGGTGATACATTGTTACACACACACAGACACACATTCGTTCACACAGCAAGACATTTCCATCGCTCCAAGCATGGTGGCCTGGAGTAACAGGCCTGAGTGGCAGCGGGGCGGGTTGGGCCACAGACGGCCGCAGACCCTGTCCAAAAACACAGCAGGGTTTGGGTCTGGGATCCAGAAATAAAAGGGCAAGAGATCTGCCCCCAGGCGCCACAGCTTTGCTTGAAAATGAAGTTTAATTTACAAGCCAAGCGCTTGTAATTAAGCAAACGCAGATATGCGAGGAGCTGACCGATGCTTTTAATGCTTCCAGACCTTCACCAAACATGTTATTTGAGTTCTTAAATCACATCACACAGACAGTCAAAAAGCTACAAAAGCAGAGACTGACAGCCTCTGGACTGCACACACACACACACACACACACACACACACACACATCTTTGTGTTTGTTTACGGGTCTGTCGATATGTTCATTTGCTAAGGGTGTTTGTTATGTCTGACTTCCTGTTTTTGGACTCTGAGCAAACCCCAGTTAATCCCTCGTGAGTTGCGCTGAATGTGTGTAGAGAAAGGGCCTTGTTCCAAAAACAGACAACGAGAAGAAAGGAAAATTCAAATGAAAGTGTAAACAGCCTCGTTTGTGTAATGTTAGGATGCACAGATCAGAATTATCATATGGCTTTGGGTGAAGGGACCAGTGAACCGAGTGTATCATTAAATATGGAGCATTCTTTCTTAGCTAGTTTTTATCTCATTATGCTTTAATCGCTCTGACCACACAGTCCGTTTTAAAAGCATGTTAGAAATGCTGAAATCAACTAGCAGACGCATCCAGCCGTTTCAGAACATCGCGCCAAACAGAATATTCATCCAAAGGATAAAATAATTTAAGGAAACATGAGATTCTTTTAATTAATTCTAATTTGTAACCAGAGTTGTTCTTTCTGGAGTAATGCGTTTAGTTAGACACTAGATAATACTAAATTATTAAACCACAATTAAAAGGCACTGCACTATATTTTAGCAATTATTTATTGAACAAATTCTGTTATTGTGGTTGGTTTTAATAATTCTAGAACATCGGATTATTTTCCCACCTTCATGTCATTGCAAACTTGTTTCACTAACCTTCTACTGTAGGACACAAAAGATGATATTTTGGAAAATGTCCATTCAATGAAAGTCAATGGGGTCCATTCTCATTCTTCAAAATGTCTTCTTTTGTGTTCCACTGAAGAAAGAAGGTCATATCGGTTTGGAGTGACACAAGGGTGAGTAAATGATGACAGAATTCTCATTTCTGGGTGATT